TAAGGCAGGAGGGCAGTAGCTACGTTGTGACCATGAGGTCACAGCATGAGGATGAAAACAACACTGATGTGCGGTGAGAAGAAATCTCAACCCTCGATGGCATTGTGACACCACCATGACAGTCCTGAATCACACGCTTGCTTTTATATGAGAAAAATATGGCCAGTTTAGTCAGATTTTCTGTTACTTGCAGCCAAACACATTCTTGGCGGATACAGGGAACAAATTAGAGCAGAAGATTCCCAGAGCACGGCAGTGTTCTGAAATTCTTTGCTTCTAGATGAGACTCAGTAAGTGCTTGCTCACGAGTGACCTCCAACCTCTGCCTCACAGTATGTACAGCGCAGGTCCCCCCATTTCTAAACCCCTAAAGCACAGAGCTGCTTTACTTACTGCAGAGCATTTAAATTAAGTATCACTCATTACCTTGTTTTTGAAAATAGCAAAGACTTTAGTCAGAAACATAAGTTGCAAGAAGACAAAACTTTCAAGAAACTCTAAAATATCACTGATGATCACTTCAAATCATTCTCAAAAAGAGTTATACCCTTTAAATCATCAAACTTACAACTCTTGAAAAGGCAAAGGGAAGAACAAAGACTTTTTTTTCAATTATCATAAATAAGATAAATTGTCATGATTAAACACTTTATTATGGTTGAAATCTGAAGTTCTGGTAAAAGAAACTCTTTGAAAACCCCATCTTAACTTAAAGTGCACAGTAATTGTAACAATGTATAATGACATACAAATACCTTCACTGAAATTGAATATCTTCCCAGCTCCCCTGGAAATTCCAAAATGCTTTAACCACTTCACCTAATTTTAACTGCATAGGTGGTAAAGTATTATCCCCAGGACACAGATGACAGACTGAGGCGACGAGGGTAAGTGATTTCTCAAAGCCACTAAGAAAGCCAAGAGCAGAGGGGGATTCAGTGTAAGGAACCACACGTCTCTACCTTCACAATGTAAACAGGGAAGTCATTAGAACAGCATAAACTAAGAAAAATCATAGCTTTGAATAGCAGAGCTTTACTTATACAATCTTGCACAAGTTTTCTTTGGCTGCAAGGCCATGGTTCTCTCCCTCTTGGTCATTCTTTATAAAGTCCTGCATAGACCATCAGGCACTTATCACCCTTAGTTCTTCTGCAGCAATGACAACCAATCAGTTTCGGGGAGGGGATGAATGTCTTTTGTGTACATTTATGTGCAATTTGAGTACTTTTTGTTCATTCAAACAATATTTGAGCATAAAACCCACTGTGTGAGACACAATTGGAGACCCTTCCTTTCAGAGCCTTCCTGCGAGGAGAGGGACAAGACGTGCATTAACTAACAAAGCAGGACGAGGTCGGTGGAGGAAACTCGCAGACACGAAAGGCTACGGGAGCTAAAGGAGTGTGAGCCGACGCAGCCCGGGTGCAGCTGCTGAGGTTCGTGCGGAAATCAGCACCTGAGCTGGTCTTGGGATGGGTCAAATGTTGACAGGCAGACAGGTGGGACAGCGGGAGACTTTTACAGCTTGGACGGGAACGGGTGACTTAACTGTGGGCAAGACCTGAGCACTCGATGTCCTGGCACTGTGCGAATAACTGCAGATGCGCGCCCTCGACGACTCCTTACACAACACGACTCTCCTGAGGGAGGATGACAACCTCCAGTTTACAGATGAGGAACCTAAGGCTCGAGAAGTGAAGCAACGCGCCAGGTTCACACAGCTGGTTAAAGTAGTGGAGACAGGATTCAAACACCGGTCCACAGGACCCCTGAGCTTTCGTGCTTAACCTGTATGCTACGCTACCTCTCTTCAAGGTCCTGTTTTCTCTGCCTTTGCTTTGCAATCTTCAACAGGAGTTTTCCTTTGTAAAAGGCGGCCACCAAATCTCCAAATATAGCTCATGTTTGCAGTCAAAAACAGGGCCAATGTTTTTTCAGTGAGGTGACCTTGCTTTGCTGCAGCTCTGTAAAAATATCACCTCTGGCCAGAGCACTGGGATACGTTACACCATTACTGCTTACTAACCGGTGTTTATCCAGGCAAGGTATTCCCAGGAGAAATTTTCAGGAATTTTAAGGAAGGCAGCAGAAGTCTTGCAATCTGGGTACCATCCAGAGGTGAGCATACCACGTGACTCTGAGCAAGAGCGCAGTCAAGAGCCTCAACCCCCAGCCTCCAGGTGCCCAGGATCCTGACAAAGGACACACCTTTCCCTTCTTCCAAGCCCTTTGGAAGTTTGATCGTCTTTCTGAATTTTTCTAATAATTTACCATTTCGGGTGTGGCAACTCTTCACAATAAAAGGAGCATGCAAAGTTGAATTCCTTATGGACAAATGTCCTGATTATTCCACACTAGCTCCCTCGGACAGACTCTTCCCCGCCTTAAATCTGGCCTCCTCTTCCTAAAACATCAACTCTTAGTCCTGGATATGACGTCATTCCCAGCGTTAGCTTTCCAACTGGTCCAGAGAAAAATAAAAGGGAACACGGCACCTGCAGCATATATTTCTTCAACATAGACAGGCTGAATACCAACCATTTAAAAAACATCTAAGTCCAAGAGCGTCTTATGTTAGCCCAGCTCCACATTATATTACGGCCACAAAGATGCCACTGAAGAGTTCCATCTCAACTACTCCCTTCCCTTCATCAGAACACTAAGGGGGGCAGGGTGCAATAATAATGGGTACCTGCATAGATTTTCCAGAAAGGAGAACCAAGGATGCTGGGAACCATCTTGAATTCTGGTGAAAACAAAGAATCTTTGGTATTTCATAATTCTTAAACTAGGCATCTTTCTCTTTTCCTCATAAACATTTTCATGAACAGGAACAAGAGATCAAAACTCATCGTGCTGTACACTGAACAGGTCCACTCTGGTTCAACCCAGCCCAGATCATTTTAGCACATGTGTTAATTGTCTAGCGTGAAGAAGCTCCCAATCGTGGTACCCATGGGTAAACGCTAGAATCATTATAAGAATTTCTGGAACTATGGTTTTAAGGCAAGACACACAGACGGCACTCAATATGTATTGAACAAATGATAATACATGCACGTTGTTTTATGCTCCTCAAAGAGTCTCCACGAATTTTGTCTTATTGTAGTTTATGTAGAAGAGGAGGAGGCTGGGAGGAAAAGTTCATCCAGCAGTAGCACTGTCTCCAGTTTAGTGGTGAGGACATGAAAACTCCAGACAGTACGTGTGGAAAGGCAGAGCCAGTGTACCCAGCTGTCCTGCTTGTCGGCACGATGTGCCCCCCGATCCTTCCCACCTTGCTACACCATGGATCTTTCCTGCGCCTGGAACGCCCTCCCCTCACGTAAGCGACTCTCAGATCTGACTCCCATGTTGTCTACACTTCGCAGTCTCTTATTTGATACCAAGAGCACCCTCCACGTCGCTTTCTGCCCACTTTCTTGCATCTCCCTCCCGCCCTAGACCGTACACTCTCTGAGGGCAAGAGCCACTGAATTCCCCGACGCCACCCAGGAGATCCATGTTCAAGGAATGAATCTAACTCCACAGCCCCTCCTCCGAGCTTGTGCAGAAAATTCTGCCTTTCACATTCCTTCAGTATTTAGAATGCTAACCTGACCATAAAAAGATGAGAAACATTACATACCTTATCTCCCTGAGACCAAAAATCTTCTGACTAAAAGGGTCTCATATCTCTTACCTCCTACGATGGTTTAGATGCTTAATGAATGCTGACTATAGGATAATATCATAATACTACCCCATTTAAAGAGACTCATTCTGCATTCTGGGACCATATAATCCGACTCAGATGCAAGGTTTGCAAATTAGAAAAAAAAATATATCTATATATCTTCTCTGATTATACCACACACACACACACCACACACACACACGTGAAATAATAAGGGATCTTGAGAAAGTTCAGTCAATGATCACAAGATGTTTAAAGATGGAGCAAGTTTTCTTAATTGTGGATATAGAAATTGCTTCATACAGTAGTCAGAATGCTTATTTTCTTCAATGTGATTTCCGCATGTGTGCACTGCACAGCCCTCTTAACGGCCATATCTCCCTGAGATGCACACAGAGTATTCATAAAGGGATTTAAATTTGTGGGACTAACATTGAGATTAATGCCAGAAATATCAGTTTCCCCGGGCGTATGTCAAAGTAGACAAGAGACCATAACCTTCCAGGATGTAATATGATACCAGCTGGTAGATCACAGACCTACCTAAACGAAAATCTGATGGAAGAAAGCAAACATGGTTACAATTACTCATACTCCTACTGTGGACTTTCATAAACAAACTAATAAATATTTTCATCTTGCAATAAGATCAAGTTAAGTGATTTGCTGACATTCTCTTGAGGTTTAAAGCTTGTCTTTAATGTGAAATACAAATCATATTTCTTGTGGACACATTTTAATAATAAATGTAAACGCACATGAGACAAAAATAATGAAAGCATTGCAATGAAAACCAGACAAACTATCTACCACTTCAAAAGGAGTGAATGAAGACTGCTCGTCAACGCCGTGATGCAAACAACCTCGACACAAAGCACCACACGCTGAAATCAGGTTTCCAGGAAAGGGAATCAGAAGGAATGAGAGAATGACAATAAGCTATTACTTGAAAACTGACTACATGAAAATACACTCACCACACACATGCACGTGCACACACGCGCGCGCACGCGCACACACCTCTTGTACAACTCGTAGGACTGATCTGATTTTGGTTTAATTCAAATTACTTCCCACCTCTTTGCAACATCCCACTGGCAAAGAGACAGGTTTGGCCCCTCGTTTGCTCAGGTAAGGATCAAGAATTTGATGCCAAATATCTCCGGCCCCTACAGTTCCATAGCTGTCCCCAAGGATAAGGAATCGGAACACCCACTGACTCATGGAACATCCTGAGGGAGTCCTCACTGTCTCTCATTTTGCTACTCTGGTCCCAGGCCATGATGTAAGCACCACCAAAGGCGCCCGAGGAGCAGCTCACCTCTGGGTCCCGTAATGACAGGCCGGTGATGCTGTGTGAAGGCCGTGGCCAGGGAGGAGGTCTGCGAAGGGGAGGGGCTGGTGAAGCCAGACTTCTCCGACTTCTTCAGCGTGGTCGGAGACGGCATTCCTGGCAAGAGGGATGGATCGACAAGCACACTTTAATTCGTGAAACAACAGCTTATGTAACCTGAAAGATAAAACTTTAAGGGTTAAAAAAAGAAATCTACCTGTGAATGGAAGATTTGTTTTGAACTGGTTTGAATTTGTCACGGGAACAAACAGGTGACAGGTGGTCTCCTGATACCAGCCTCTACTTGATTTTAACTTATTCTCCTAAATAACAGTCCATTTTGGGGCGACTGTTCTTCTCTAACTGGAGAGCGCCCCTTTTCTTCTTGAAAGTTGTCTGTGCCGGTGGCCCCAGGACCCTTCAGAACGGAGGCTGCAGCAGCACAGGAAGCCCCCGTGTGCCTTCATCCCACCTTGCCACTTCACTTCAGCAACAAGGTACTTTCTCCACATTTTAAATAATTTAGCTATTTCAACATTTAAAAAACCCCTCAACAATGGCAACGCAGTTGCTCATCCAACAAATTATTTATAATAAAAAAAAGAAAAGATAGAAGTAAAAGAAAAACTTAAATGCCTAACAATTGAGCACTGTTAAATAAATATGGTACAGCCAATGCAAATAATACTGTAAAAGAATAACAACATGGAAAGATATTGAATGACATGGAATAAAGACATGGAAAGCAATTACAAAGTAGGATGCCACACTCTGATGCTTCTTACAAATGCGTTTCTGTGCACAGAGAAAGGACGGGAAGGAGACACACAAACTGTAACAGGAGTTCTCTCTGTGTGCTGCATTTGGGTGATTTTCATTGCCTCTTTTTGCTTACCTGTCTTTTCTATGATGAACATATATTACTTTCATGTTAAGAAAATAAAATAAAACCTTGTTTTTAAAAATAGTATTTTTAATATAGTGTAAGATTTTCACAGCATTTCCAGTATAAGAAATTCTTTGGGAAGAAAATAATGGGAAAACAGCCCCTTGTCATTACTGGATTGGTAATGTTCTCGGCAGCCACGCGGAACTACCCAACAGGAGGCATCTATTAGTTTGGTAGGGTGCCAGTTAAAACAATGAAACTTGGATATAAAAATAAAGGAAATGACTCCTAGTCTCCACATCACAGGACAAATTTGGGCTGTCTTAAGTTGCAGCACAAAATTGATCTGCACTCACGTCAAAAGAACCAAATTTTATTTTACTTACACGTGTCTACATGTATTTACACATAGACAAGTAAAAACATGTATTATGTTCTGCCTACGACCAGAGAATTTACTTGGGTGAAGTGGAAAACTAAGTAACACAAATGATCATGATGTTAGCATGTAACTGTCACTGAGCAGTTCTAAGTACGAGGCACCGTGTGAAGCACTTCATGGGCAGATCTGTTCAGAAATCTAGGTAGTCTGGCTTATATCTGAATACGTCTTTGTTATTTCTGATCCCAGATTTCCTTAACAAGATTCTATAACACAGCCTTCAAGTATGACTGCAGATTCTGCGAGGACAGAGAGCCCGTCTGCTCTGCCCCCTCTACTGTCAGCACATCTAACAAAGGGCCCAGGGGTTACCAAGTGGCCTGGAAAGATATTTACTCTACTTGTACAGGTATCAGTTTTATCTGTGGCTTTACTAATAGATGCGTGGACATAGCAAAACTTGGGGTTTTGACCCCAGGAGAGAAACAAATTGCAATTGATGTGCACATTTGCACAGTCAGACATCAGGACAACAAGAAGTGGCACATGACTCCACACGGTCTTGGCAAACCTGGATCAGACCTGTTCCAGATCAACATCCACGTGATCTGAATAAAAAACAAAGTCACTGAGTGGCTTTAGCTGTGTCTGTTTGCTCGCTGAGTCAGTAACCAAAGTCACACCACACCAACGTCCCAACATCATTAGGATAGATGAAGGTTTTGGATCAACGTTCACTGCAGGTAACCTAACCTAATGTATCATCATGTAATTACATTCAAGAGGAGATTTCAAATTAAAAAAATAAAGGAAAGAAATAAAAAGCTACCAAAACGTGAACAGATCTCCCAATTCATTCAAACCTCTTCTGTTCAAACACATTTTTAGGCTGCCAACCAGTCCACTGATTTAGACTCAGTCAAATGCCTGAATTATGTGTCACAAAACAGAAATAGGATAGAAAACGAAAATGTCAAAACTTGTTACAAGATGGCAGAATCTTTTCCAGATAATGGAATCAGTGATGAAACACAGTATCTGAACTAACCTTATTAAAGAAAGCAAATCGCTGGACTCCAGAAGTGGTCACTTTGAAAAGTTCATGTTTTCTAACCTACGCCATTCTAAGTACTGCAGAAATGTTGACATGACTTAAATCCACCATTTACATGTTAAAAGGGGAAGTATACATAAAATTTAGGCAGTAACAAGCACCAGGAATGATCAAGTTGGTAAATGGGTTCAAAACCAGCAAAATTCAAATCCTCTTTGAAAGGGTTAAAGAGAGAAGAAAGGCTGTCTGCTCGCGAGAACAATTTTCTAAATTTATCACAGTCAAGTAACATGAACCCAAAGGCTGCCATGAATCTCAAAACTACTTTGTGTTTTCAATGTTTAAAGACTTGTGTTGAGCACATTTCCTTATTATACACTTTAATATTTTCTCCATATACATAATGTATGTTTTAGTTAATTTGTTTCATACACTTAAATGACCGGACGAAATGTCGAAATGCTAGAAAACTGCTTTATGTTAAAAGTGAGAGAACAGTAATCTTGGCTTTTATTTCTGAAACCAAACTTGGTTTCTGTACATTACTTTAAAAATAAACTCCCTGTTAAAATTTCGCTTTCCAATTAGCTATGCACAACTGCTATACAACTGCTATACCGATAAATGACTGGCTTTCTCTTAATGAATCAAAACTTTAATTTCAATGTATTTTTTAGAAGTATCATATTTTTTAAAAAGATTATAGATAAAGCAATGCTATCCCCTTTTCTTGAACGAAATATTACTTCAAAGTTGTTTTCAATATGTAAAAATAAAGAATTTTATAGACTGAGAAGCAGAAATTTAGCATAACGTCTTGTTTCCATGGGACATTTCCTCCTATGATCGCTGTAAAAGGCCTGATGGTGGTAAACAGAACAGCAGGTGGATTTCAAGAGGCATTCTGGCTTGTCATTGGTTTTTCTATCCATCAGACTTTAATTTTTCTCCACTTTGCCATTTTTCTAAGCTACCTGAGTCATTTGCGATAGTGTTCATTGGACACAGACAAACATACACGAAACCCTAGTCGTTCAGTGTGACTCTGATCGCTGGAGGCAGCTGTGAGTGAGAAGTCAACACAAACACCTGCAAAGTGCAGGCCACACACAATACAGTCATCCCTTGGTATCTGCGGGAGATTAGCTCCAGGACCCCCACAGACACCAAACTCCACGGATGCTCAAGGCTCTTAAAACAAATGGCGTAGTCTTTGCAGATAAAGTGATGGGAGGATGTGCACAGGTTAAGTCTGGATTACTTAGAATACCTAACACAATGTAAACACTATGTAAATAGTTGTTATGCTGCATTGTTTAGGGAATAATGACAAGAAAAAAAGTCTGTACATGTTCAGTACAGATGCAGCCATTGTAGGCCTTTTGGTCTGTGGTTGTTTGAATCTGTAGCTGCAGAACCTGTGGATACAGAGGGCTGATGGCGTTCACAAAGATTCTGTTAGATTCAGCGTCAATATCTGTGGTAGTCAGAATTCTAAGGTGGCCCAAGGTTCCTGGCCCCTGGGGTACACTTTGTATAATCCCCTCCCCTTGAATGTGGGCACTACCCATGAATATGATGGATGTCATTCTTGTGATTAGGTTATTATATTGTGAAGGCAAAGAGACTCTTGAAGATGTAATTAAGGTCCCTAATCAGGTGACTTTAAGTAAAGGGTTATTATCGTGGGTGGGACTGACCTAATCAGGTGAGCCTTTAAAAGACAGACTAGATGTCAGAGAGAGTCTCCTGCTGGCTTTGAAGAAGTAAGCTGCCATGTTGCAAAATGGCCTGTGAGAGGGCCACATGGCAAGAAACTGCAGGGAACTCTAGGGGATAAGTGGAGCCATGACTGACAGCCAAGTTTAAGAAACCTGGGACCTTCGTCTTAAAGCTACAAGGAACTGAATTTTGCCAAAAGTCATGAAAGTTTGCAAGAGGAGCCCGAGCTCCAGAAAGGAATGCAGCCTGGATGAGATTCTGACTGCAGCCTTGTGAGACCTGAGCAGAGGGACCAGCCAAGCTGTGCTCAGACCCCTGACCCATGGAAACTGTGAGATAATAAATGCACGTTGTTTTAAGCTGCTGAATTTGTGGTAATTTATTATGCAGCAATAGTAAACTAACATGATCTGCAAATAGAAGACTATGGTCAATGCAAGAAATATATGTATTAAAGACGCCTACTGTGCACTAATTACTCTCTAGAATTTCAGAAGTTTCCATTATTTTTAGCAAATCCATCCTAGGTTGTGAGGTTTTCTCACCCAGAGAAAACAGTAAGACATCCTCTTGGAAAAGAGGCAAGTAAGTGGTTATTTCCAATGGATAAACTCTTGAAAATTTCTATTTCCCCGATTCTCTCAAGAAACATCAATACCAAAATCAGATCAAATGATATGAAAAAACTGAAAAATAATTCTTGGGGTCTCCTACAACTAATCAAGGTTTATTTTTGGTAATTTTTTGCTACAACCTGATGTTACAGGAAATGGAAATAAGATACAAGGAAAAAAATCATAATTAACTTCAACACCCCCTCCCTCCCAAATTATGAGATTTACCAAACACTTTGACCATGAACTTTATAGTGACAACTGTGAAGCAAGTTCTCCAGGAAAGAGAAGAAAGCACAACACTGTTCTTAGCTTGAGAAAGCTTCTAAAGGGGCTATTTTAGGCATCAAAGGAGCTACAATATTAATGGGAGGGAGGGAGAATGGAGAGGTGCCATAAACCATGATTATTCCAGGGACAGAGAGACAACAGGCAGGATCTGTAAAGAGGAAAACTGTGACAAGTCAGTGTTGGTGCTGACTTCC